CTACATGGCACTGTATATCAATGCTGATCTTTTTAGAAAGAAATATTGCATTAAGCAGTAGTTTCTGGCATTTGCTAACACTTAAGTCCATTCATAAAGGTTTTTTTTTTTGTAAAGAATGCTGCTTTTTACATCAAATGAAAGCATAGTGATTAGGCATTGTCAAGCACAAAAAGCACCATGAAAGTGATACATATGACTCAACTACTATATTCAGATTCTTCTGAAGTCATGTGATAGCTTTGTGTTAGGAATAGACTGATGCTTAAAGGGATAGTTTTTTTCTTCAGTTGAACAAAAGATATTTTGAGGTGTATAGGTAATGCAACAGTTGATGGTCCCCACTGACTTCCATAGTATGGAAAAAATGCTATGGAAGTCAGTGGGGAACCAGAAACTATTTAGTTACACACATTCTTCATTCTTCAGTTACACACATTCAAAATATCTTACTTTGTGTTCAGCTGATTCATACAGGTTTGGAACAAATGATGACAATTTATTTTTTTTGGTGGAACTATCCCTTAAAGTCACTTACTGAAAAGAAATCATTTTTTCCACTGTAACTTTTAAATCTTGTTCATGTACACTACCAATCAAAAGTTTGAGGCAGTAGGATTTTTTTAATGTTTTTGAAAAAGCTCAGTAAATATATATTAAAAAAAAAGTAAAAACAGCAAAATACAGTAAAAATAGTCATGTTGTTAAATATTATTACAATTTAAAATGATTACTATGTTTGTTTTTATTTTAATATATTTTAAAATGTAATTTATTCCTGAGGCAAAACTGAATTTTCAGCATCATTACTCCAGTCTTCAGTGTCACATGATCCTTCAGAAATCATTCTAATATGCTGATTTGCTGCTCAAGAAACTTTTATTAGTGTTGAAAACAGTTGTCCCTCTTAATATTTTTTTGTGAAAAAATTTGACATTTTGAAGATTACTTCAACAGTTCAAAATAATAGCATTTATTTGAAAAATATAAATCCTTTGTAAGGTTATAATTTTCTTTACTGTCATATTTGATCAATTTAATGCATACTGAATAAAAGTAAGTTTAAAAAAAAAAAAAAACTTACTGATCCCAAACTTTTTGATGGTAGTTTATGTGCATGTTCAAACTTGGCAAATTCAAACTCTTGCAGGTTTTATAAATAAGTGATGCAACACATTTGAATGTCATACAGGTCTGAAATTTCATATGAGTGATGGAAAGATGATTTCTTGGGAGAACTATTCCATTAACTCTTCTGCAAAATGTACTTCCTTGATATGAGGCTTATTCATCTGTGTTTATCTCAACTCGTTCCTCTCTCACGGTTCAGGGCAAACATCGTGGTGCAGTGTGAGAACTGGTGGAACTTGGCCAAGCAGTTTGCCAGTCGCAGCCCTCCTTTGCATATGCTGTCCAGCACTGTCCAGCGGACCCTGATGAAGGCCCTTGTCCTGGGCGGCTTTGCTCACATGGATTCTGATACCAAACAGCAATACTGGGCCGAGGTGAGAAACAAAAGGATTATTGAGAAATATCTGGAAGGTCAAGCATTATGCTGAAGAGAACACAAAGCAGGGAAAAAATGAGTTTATGAAGCATGGCCTCATTACTCTTCGTCTCTTTCTTTCTGTCTCTGCGCTGCAGGTACTGCATCCACTCCAGCAGCGCTTCCTCAACCTCGTTAACCAGGAGAACTTTGCTCAGATCTGTCAAGAGGAAGCCGTGAAGCAGGAGATCATTGCCACTCTGGAAGCTCTGTGCGGCATCGCTGAAGCGACGCAGATCGACAATGTGGCATCTCTCTTCAGCTTCCTCATGGACTTCCTGTCCAGCTGTATTGGCCTCATGGAGGTCTACAGAAACTCACCAGAAACGGTCAACCTCATCATTGAGGTTTTTGTGGAAGTGGCCCACAAACAGATCTGCTACTTGGGCGAGGTGAGACATAAGTGCTTGCATTGATTCTGATGTGATCACACATTTTAGATGTAGCCTTTCATGCATGGTATTTGTAGAGAAGACCGCATTCGTACTGCATCCTAAATATGTTTTTCTACGCACCACCTCTCTGTCTCCGCAGACTAAGTCTATGAAACTGTATGAGGTGTGCTTGACGCTGCTGCAGGTTTACTCCAAGAACAATCTGGGTCGCAAGAGACTAGATGTAGCCGCAGAGGAGGACCAGTACCAGGACCTTCTGCTAATCATGGAGCTCCTCACCAACCTGCTCTCCAAAGAGTTCATTGACTTTAGTGACACTGGTATGAGTGTTCATTCATGATTCATGTCATTTGCATCATAGCTTGTGAGCTGAGATGAAGAATACGCGTGTTTTGTGTGCAGATGAGGTGTTTCGTGGGCAGGAGCAGAGCTCTGGTGCTGGACGGGCCGTATCAGCTGCTGATGTTGTGCTGTATGGGGTGAATATTGTGCTGCCCCTCATGTCTCAGGACTTGCTTAAGGTAAAATTTGACTTTTGAGATGCATTTTGAAAGTTCAACTCAGTAATCAACTCAGATGTTCCTACATCATTTCATAGCAAACTCAGAAACTTGAAGTAAAAGGTGTGCTACTGTTCTGAAGTACTCCGTCTTTCTTTTTCTTCTACCCAGTTCCCTTCTCTGTGTAACCAGTATTATAAGCTCATCACCTTCATCTGTGAGATTTTCCCAGAGAAGATCCCTCAGCTGCCTGAGGAGCTCTTCAAAAGTCTCATGTGCTCCCTGGAGCTGGGCATGACCTCGTATCCTTGCTGTTTTTGTGTATAAAGAAGAGAGTCTGTGCTTGCTAAGCACATTGTGTTGGATTTTCATTGTTGAGAGTTTTTGTTGTTGAATTATGGTGGTTTTTCCTTAACACACACTGCAGAATGAGCTCAGAGATCAGTCAGCTGTGTCTTGAGGCTTTATCCCCATTGGCTGAGCAGTGCGCCAAGACACAGGAAAAGGACACACCCCTATTTATTGCCACACAACATTTCCTTAAAGTGAGTCACATGATGTCTAAACCAGTGGTCAACTGTTGTGGGTTTGTAACAGGCGATGTGTGTTGCCATTCATTAAAGTAATAAAAGTAATAATTTCTTTCAAAAACAAAAGTTTTACTGACCCCAAACTTTTGAACAGTAGAGTACATAATACAACAACGAAGGAGAACATCTCAGCACAAAACAAGTAAACACATTTTATACCATATTTTCTCAAAATTCACAAAAAAAATAAGTTTTTCTATTGACAAGGCTGTCAGTAGATATGGACTGACATAAAAGGGATGAAAAATATGTCAGTATTATTTCCTGTCAGTATTAACAGAGTTATTGGCTGATGTCAATTATCTCAAAATGGTCAAACTTGCGCTAATGTCACTAACCTTCATTGTAATGTCATAGTCTGTGATTAATATACATGTATAAAATGTTGATTAATAATGTACATTTCTCTGTCACTCTTTCTTCCTCCACAGCTGGTGTTTGACATGCTGGTGCTCCAGAAGCACAACACTGAGATGACCGTAGCAGCTGGAGAAGCGCTCTATACGCTAGTGTGCCTTCACCAGGTACGTTTTATGCTTACAGTATGAAGTTTACCTGAAAGAAATGGATGATCTTGTGATGTATTAGCAGTTGATGAACGTTTAATAGGTGATGGTGTTTGTCTTAGGCGGAGTATTCAGAGCTGGTGGAGACGCTGCTCTCCAATCAGAGGGACGCCGTGATCTACCAGCGGCTGGCAGACGCGTTCAACAGCCTCACTGCCAGCAGCACGCCTCCAACCATGGACCGCAAACAGAAGGTGGCCTTTCTGAAGAGCCTGGAGGAGTTTGTTGCCAATGTGGGGGGGCTTCTGTGTGTCAAATAAGCCACTTCCTCCAGCAGCTGTCCACAACAGCTTCCCCTCTCCACCCCCTCTACCACTCAGAAAAGCCTTTCACCATGCCAAACCATGGAGATGCTCAGCTCCCGCCGCACAGGCTGAGACGCCTCTGGGCCTTCTGACACACAGAGAGGAGAGAGAGGCTGGCAAAGGCCGAGAGGAGAGGGGACGGCCGGCCGTGATCATCTCAGTCTGATCTGACCATTGTTTACTTTACCACTGAGAGCTCCTCAGATGAACATTTATGAAATGCAGAGGGGTAATCTTTCATAAAACTGACCTTCCCCTTTTACACAAACAAACACACAGTCTTTTGCAGACGCTTCTCCTCGAGTGCCTTTGGTTTCTCACAGCTCGGATCCAGCTGTGTCTACAGTGGCGAATAGAACCTTGTCATACTGCTATCACGGTAACTAGGATTGTGAGCTGTGGTTGCCATGATAACGAAAAAGCCTTTCACAATGAAACTTTAATTGCAGGAAGGCCCTTTTGGAAAACCAAATCACTTTTGTGTTTAAGGGTGTATATATATTTTCAAAAAAAGACAAAAAATGGAAGTGTTTAAAAGGACTGGAAGGTTTTTATAAGATTATAGTTGACAGAACTTTGAATTTTTTTTATTGTAACCCCCTGAAGAACAAGGGGGGCTTGTTTGAATTTCTTTCTGATTTATTTGATTGATTGTAGTTTTACTCTTAGCCGTTGATCATTTCGCCCCGATCGCAGCAGTATCACTGAAAACGTTCTCAACAAAAATTCATGTCTAACAAATTATGATGGACATTTTTCAGATGATCGCATGATGTTCCCAACAAGGTTTTGTTTTTCAAAAATAACTTCAACAAGGTTCCACTTAGACTAGCACATGCACACTCAGAGTCAAAGTTGCTGTAGCAATAAAATACCAAAAATGACGATCGAGGGATGTCAGTTGTTTTATTCAGGGCATTTAATGGTCTTTATTTCCATTGTTCAAAGCACTAATTGTTATTTTGGAATGCCTGAAATGATCTGTAAAGTGTATATAAACTTGCTATAAAAAGTGAGTCGTCTTTCTTGGTCTACATTTTCAATATGTTATCTGTCTGAATGAAATGTCTGGTCTGGAAATATGCTCGCTTGAATATTTTTCGCGTTTCAATTGCTGTTGGGCTTTAGTGTGATTGTACTCCCTCGGCCACCGTAGTGCAAACACGTGTGAAGCTGTTTGCTATGTTCTGTTCCTCTGTTGTAAGCTTGTATAATACTGCTTAAATACACACTGTAACGGCGTCGTACGTTGGTAAGTGTAAAGACTGGATTAACCCTAAATTAGGTAATATATATATATATATTTGCGACTGTTAGCATCATTACTGAATGAGCGTTATGCTGTTTTTTTCAGCATGCCTCCCGTAGTTGACGTGTTCCCGTGTCATTTAGTGATGAAGGGTCAGTTATCATGAGCGACAGTGACGATGATGTGCCTCAGCTCTCCGCGGCGACCCTCGCAGCGCTGCAAGACTTTTATGCCGAGAGTGGAAGGACGGAACTGGAACAAAACTCCACCAAGACCGACAAGTTCTGTGTTGGTGCTGTAGAGGAAGACTGGGTACAGTCAATGTACTAGAAGTGCCTTGAGTGATGATCTGTTAATTGTTATACATGATCTTGTATATATTTGTTAAACACACGTATATATCAAGTGCGTACCTAACCAGCTCGTGTTTCTGTAAACAGCGCATGAGTCAGTTCTGGTACAGTGAAGACACGGCCACACGGTTAGCAGAGGAAGTCATGCAGCAGGCTGGAGAACATGGCAGGTTGGTCTCAAGCGCATTTGGTCAGATTTTACATGCGTGCAATCGTTTCGGCATGTGTAGAACAGAAGCTCAGTAGTGATGGGCGTTCATTTGATGAGAAGTGTATAACTGCAGCCTGGAGATCTCCAAATGGGGGCGGGAACTCCCAAACGGGGTGGGAGCTCCAAAATAGGGCGTGGCTTCCTCTCATTGAAGGACGCCCCTTTTGCTTAGAACAAAGCGATAGAGTAAAATCTTTGCGCTGCGCTGGGACGGCTCGGGAGAGCTCGTGGGTGATTCCCGTTTATATCATGAAGCAGATGTTCAAACTCCAGTCCGAACACCACTGGCCACGAGCTTTGGGATGGCCCTTACCGGAGGTTACCTCAATACACCAGTAGGAGGCGACAACTGAGTGGTTTTTTAATTGTGCGGTGAGTGAAAACATTCACTCAACCAATTCATTAAAAACATGGTTTATCATAGTCATTGAAAAACTCAAAAGATTAACATTTACGTGTAATTGTTCTTATGTCTCATTAAGTGGGAAAATACTCTTGGTATTTGACAGGTTGACTTCCCCCTATTAATCTACACCAGTCACAAGTGTTTTATTTTAGATTCAAAACAACCTGTAGTTTTTTTTTTATCAGATTGGCTTCAATATAAGCTATTTTTAGACTAAAGAGGAAGTTTGAGTTCTGAAACTTGCAGGATGTTTTTATAGTACAATGACCTGTTATATGTCAAAAGATCAAGGGAAATTTGATTTCTCAGTTCATGACCCCTTACGTAATTGTGATTTTTTTTACAATTTAAAATAGATGTTTTCTATTTGAATATATTTTAGAATGTAATTTATTTCTGTGATGACAAAGCTGAATATCAGCATCATTACTCCAGTCTTTAGTGTCACATGATCCTTCAGAAATCATTATAAAATACTGATTTGGTGCTCAATAAACATTTCTTCTTATCAATGTTGAAAACAGTTGTGCTGCTTAATATTTTTGTGCAAACTGTGATACATTCTTTAATGAACATAAAATTCAAAAGAACAGTATTTATTTGAAATAGTAAAGACTTTTACAGTGTTACAAAAGATTTATCTCACTTGTGATCTTGCTAAATAGGTTTTCACTCTTTTTGAAAAAAATAAAATAAAATCTTACTGACCCCAATATACAGTAGTCAACATTTGAAGTGGATCAAAAAAAAGTTCATAAAAGTTGTCCTAAAACCAAAACAATACCCGTTCTTGTCTTAGGACAACTTTGATTAACTTTTTTTTGATCCACTTCAGATGTTGACTACTGTATATTACTGCTCCATTATGTGTCCCCTCTCACCCAAATGTATTTTTTTTCCTGGCTTGTAGGATAGCTTGTATAAGTGCACCAAGTGTGTATCAGAAGCTGAAACAGTTGGAATCCACGAGGTCGGACAGTGTGTCTGCTGTTTTGCTGGAGTTTGACCGACGTTTCGCAGCATATGGAGATGAGTTTGTGTTTTATGATTACAACAACCCTCTGTGCCTGCCTGAGGGTCTGCTTCCTCAGAGCTTTGACATCGTCATCGCAGATCCTCCATACCTGTCTGAAGAGTGTCTCGGCAAGGTGGCGCTCACCATTAAATACCTCACTAAGGGAAAAATCCTGCTCTGCACAGGCAAGTGGAAATGAATATATATAATATATACATATATAATGTTGCAGATTCTTAAAAAGTTTTTTTTATGTCTTGTTCATGTTCACCTTTGCCTTATTCTTATAGGAGCTATTATGGAGGAGCCTGCTGGGAAACTTATAGATCTGAAGATATGCAGTTTTTTACCAAAACACAATCACAATCTGGCCAATGAGTTCCGCTGCTATGTTAACTATGAATCAAGCCTTCTCTCATGAAAAAAGCTTCCAATCTGCCAACATTTGAGCATTGTTTTTTTCCCATGAAACATCAGATGATCATGTGGAACAATAAATACTCTAACTCCAAATGGTTCATAGCAAGATCCAGATATTAGAGCGGAGGATTTGGCCCTTCATCAGAGATCTGTGATCAGTCTTTGATGATGCTTTGGCTGACTTGCATTGTCAATTGCACACCCAGCTTTCAGGCATAAAATTGAAGCAAACAATTTCAGACAGCTTAACTTTGTTTCAATGCATAAAATGGGCTAGAAGTGAATGTTTGAAATGCGTTTATATATAATATACAATACACAAGACTTTTGCATTATCAGTGGTGTTGTTGGTGGTTTGAATAAAGTAATCATAGGAGAATTGACAAAGTTAAGCTAAATAATATGTCCTCTTGTAAATGATATCCATGCATGCTTGCCTTTAACAGAAGCATTTCTAGTGATCTCCTGTATACTTGAAAACAGTTTAACTATATTAAGTTATTTAAAACCATGATGCTGACTGGCTTTTCCCAAGTACTTTGGATTAGAAAATGTTTGTATTTTGGCACAGTAAGTTTTCCTTTTGCTTGGCACTGCAGACTAGAATCTGCAGATGTGAGAGCAAGTTCTGTCTCAAGTTTTTTGCTCACCAAAAATGAAGTGAAAGAAGAAAAAAGTCTAAAAATGAACCAGATCAATTATTTCTAAAGGTGCTGGAATTTTTAGATGAGACTCTTTTCACACTTGGCTTGCTCTTCTGTGTTTTTCTGTCTCTTTCCAACAATGGCACACAAGTACAACCCACGGCGATGGACACGTAGCTCTCTGTGTAGGAATGACGGCCCCCGACACACGAGCCGGTCCGGCGCAGTATGACGGTCGGCATGTACACTGGAGTGCTGCGGAAGCGGTCACTTTCCTCCCCGTTCGGTTCGGTCAGGCATCCTTTACACAAACAGTACGCCTCAGGGAGATATCGCGGGTACCTCGCTGGATCATGAGAGATTCTTGGATCAATAACAATGAAAAAATAAATATTTTATTGCAGACAAAAAGGCGAGACATCTTACAAGACATCAAATCTTATATGAACACATAATCGAACCGGTTCTTCAGAACTGAATCATTTTTATGACCGAAACAAAATCGATTCCCGATTGAATGATTCTTTTGAGTCAGTTGCGTCAAAATACGTGTGAATCAGACGCTACGGTTGTTGAATCAATCTGATTTGCTAAATCGCATGTTATTACTTTCGCCATCTCGAAATAATCCAAAAATTGTGGTATCTTATATTTTTGTCTATTTTTTTCATGACGTTATTGATATGAGTAGCCTATTTTGTAGTGTTTTTTTATTTACTTATTTTTATTTTTTAACGAATAAAGGATACAAACTGAGTTTATAAAAACGAATTAACGAATGAACTGTTAACATTTTTGTTTGTATTTTTGCATTTATGCCGCCACTAAGTCCGAAAAAAAAACCCACTTCTAAATATTTCTTCCACATAAACACTAAAACCGCTAAACTCCTTTGTATTCCCATCCTAGTCTTCAGGGTTTTGGGGTCCTACCTGTACGCCCACGGCGAGAGGCTGAGGAAGTTGACTGGGGTTCGTGGTCTGCCGCGCGCCAGGCGAGACGCTGATTGACAGGTCAGATTCTGGCGCTCTGGAGGGGCGAGCTGCAGGGTGTGATGAAACGCGCTGAGCACCCCAACCGACAGTCTCCCAAACATCTGCTCCAAAATCTCCTCTGGTAAGTCCAGACATGAGCGAGTCCTCGGTGCTCTCCTGGACACCTTCAGTCCCCGTTCACCCGGCGCGCTCCCGCAGCACCAGAGCAACACCAACACAAGCGTCGAAACAGCTCGACCACGCATTTCAGTTTACACCGAGTCTAAACGCGCTTTACTGTCAGGAAGAGATTGCTGGGAAATATATATTAAAGTAAACCTTTGAGAGCTCTTAAATCGACCTACAGAAACTGCCCAGTTGTTGAGTAAAGCGGTCTCATCCGCCCGTCCCGTAAATGCGCTCAGGATACTTGACTCCAGTTATTGGGCGGACTGTTTGATACTGAACAATGATCATGATCTGCTTGAGCTGATGTGAAAAATCTCACACTGATGGTTTTTTTTTCTCCTGGAATGTTCTGTATTTCTTTTAGATATTTAAGAGATTGAATCATCAGATTCCAAAGAAAAGTCTTATACTGTGCTTTAATATTTCACACTTACAATGTCTTTAGCTTCACTGTTTGCAGGGCATACAAAAGTTGATATCTTTACATTTCAATGCACAAAATGAATTAAATAATTTTGAATAAGCTGTATTTTTTTCTAAATGTAATTATACATATACACACACAATGCACTACTATTACAAAATATAGTAAAGCATAATGCAATGAGATATAAAATCCCTGGGCATGAAGAACTGGTATTTTTAGTACTACTAAAAATACAGTGCTATAAAATACAGAAAAATCTAGTGCCTTGATATATATCAGATTTTCTACTGAATTGATAACTGTTGCACACATCACTCAGGCAGTAAGTCATCTCCCAGCTCTTCATCAGCAAACTCGTCTTCCTCAGTGCGTTTCCTTGCTGCAGTTTTTGGTCCCTGCATTTGAGGCCCCAAAGGATCGACATACGAAGCATCTAAAATGATGAATACAATGGAAGCAATACATTTTAATAAGCACAGACCAGGCTAGAAGCTTTCTTTCCTTCTTTCTTTCCAGGAAATTATTAAAGCTATGAAATAAGCCAGCCAGGTAACAGGGAAATGTAATAATAATTTATCATCATACATTTAACATGTATGCATTTGGTAGATGCTTTTATCCAAGTAACTGCACTCAAAGTGTACATTTCATCAGGTCACACATTCCATGAGAATTAAACCTTGGTATTGCAAGCTTCATTCACTACTGTTTGTTTACTGAAAAAATTAATTATTCTACCACGATTTTATCTTTATTAGATTGTTTATCAGTCACAATGACAAGAATCTCCTTGAAAATGATGAGTGATGTTGTTTCTCACCTATTTCCTGCTGAGTGCTGGCCTCATAGGGCTCATTGGACCCTGGAAGAGTTTTCAGTTTAACGCTAAGCCTCTCACCCTTAGCACTGGTGCCATGGTTGCTCTGTCCACTGTCTGAGAAAACACACCCAAAAAGCCCAAGTTGGAGTTGCAAACATTTCTGGAGTGAGAGTTATTTTACAGTAGTGTCTGGTCAGATTCTTCTGAACAGAAGAAAACAAGGCATTCGCATTTGAGTTGCCACCATCGGCAATGTAAGCCATGCTTATACGCTACGATGAATGCTGATAAACAAAACAAAAAAGCATGAAAAACAACAGCTCCAGCTTGCACTTGAAGCAAAGGCTATGTGCCACTAGAATCCCAATTAAAGCGAGTTCACTCTGCAACCATATGACTTGCATTATGGAAAGCATTTTTGGTGCATAAAGACAACGGCACACAGCTGCATTTCACATCTCAGCTGTGACGACAGGAACAGAGTGCTGAGGGGCAGATGTGAGACTGGAGTCTGGCAGGCAGGTAACTATGGGATCTTTAAACATCCCAGCGACAAAACACAAAGGCATTAAAATGAAAAACCTTTTGCTGACATACAGTAGTTTTTCCTACCATGTACACCTAACTGAGGAATCAAGCCAGAATCAAAAGAAACATTTATCACATTACATAAAGCTAAAAAAAACACTGCCTCTGAGTACTTCTATTGTTTGTATTCATAAAAACATCTTCAGAAGAGTACAGTAAGAAAACGTTGAGATCAAGCACTCTGATACTTGGATACTGTTGTTCAGGAGTGTACTTGTGAAATATTTCACTGGTTTATTTGCACTCAGTGCTTTGCAAACAGAAAGAAGTTGCTGGAAACACTCTGTCAGTGAGAGTGGGATATTCCCTGGAAACAGTGGTTTTGGCATATAGGGCTTTCACAGCACATGTTTGCTCTCTATTGTGCTCAGATTTAATTTATTTACGGGGAACTACAGGCATTACAACAAAATTTTGACATATGGACTCGGCAATGGGTTTGAAGTTTTCCATGAAGCGTGCAGCTATGAGATTTTTGTGTTTAATCATCCAGAGGATTGATCATCTAAACTGTATAGTGAAATACAGTACATACCTCTGCCCTGCTCCAGCAAAGGACTATACTTAGCTTCTGAGCGAGAAACTGCAGAGAATAGAAAGGAAAAAGCAGAAGACAGAACTCTGAAGAGACAGTGGAAAGGCAAGACAGAGAGCCGAGAGCTGAGGCCTACAAATTAGATTGCGCTATACAACAATGAAGATTATTTGTGAATAAAACAGTAAACTTAGCATTACATGTTGAGTTCAGTTATGACTGCAGGGCAGAATGTGAGGAATGAATGGCATCTGTAACAAAGCTGACTAACGGGTGCAGTAGCAGCAGTTTATTAATGAGCAGAATGCAATGCCATGCTTGTTTTGTAGCTGTACAGGAGGAGCGTGTGAGCTCTTCCTCTAATGTATTTCTGTAGTGTGTGTAGTCATACCACTGGCTCTCAGAGGAGGGGTATTGATGGGGCTTGAGCTGCTCCCTTTCAAGTGCACAGCCATGAACAGAGAATAACAGAGATAAAAAATAAAAGAGAATGACAGACTGCTAACAAAATGAAGATGAAGCTTACAATATAAAGAGAATGCAGATTAGAAAAAGATTTCAGATCTGTCCCAATATGAGTGATTTCATGGATGTGACTATATGCTTTGTCTGACTGGCTGTAAAACAATTAAACTACCATTGAAAAGTTTGAGGTCAGTAGGGTTTTTTTATTTTTTTTAGAAAAGTTTTTTTATTCAGCAACGACGCATTCAATTGATCGAAAGTGACAGTATAGTTAATAATTTTACGAAACACTTGTATTTCAAATGAATGATGTTCTTCTAAAATTTCATCAAAAATAGAAAGTTTAAAAAAGCAGCACAGATGTTATTCAGCAAGATCCAAAGTGAGAGAAATATTTTTTAACAACGTAAAAGTCTACCATTTCAAATAAATGCTGTTCTTTTGAATTTTCTGTTCATCAAATAATGTATCACAGTTTGCACAAAAATATTAAGCAGCACAACTGTTTTCAACATTGATAATAAGAAGAGATGTTTCTTGAGCAGCAAATTAGCATATTATAATTATTTCTGAAGGATCATGTGACACCGAAGACTGACGTAATGGCTGCTGAAAATTTAGCTTTGCATAAATAACATTTTAAAATATATTAAATAAGAAAAGTTATTTTAAATTGTAATAATATTTCACAATATTACAGTTTTTACTGTTATACATTTGAACAAATAAATGCAGCCTTGTTGATCATAAGAGACTTCTTGAGTCATGAAAAAATCTTACTGACCCCAAACCTTTGAATGTATGTATCCCATTACTTTTCTTATTTTCCAGAGTAATGAGAATTATTACTAAATGACATTTATGAAGAACTCAAATCAAATCCATTATAAAACCAACCACCTTCATAATAAAGTAGCTTCCTATCATGTCTGCTCTATTCTACTGAGGCAGGGAGTGATCATACCACTGGGCTTCTTGGGGTTTGAGCCGCATCCTAATGTGTTAAAGACGTGAAAAGAAGTGTTGGAAGAAGAGAGCAGTGAGATGCAGTAAGAGGCTGATAACAGTCACTTGTTTGAAAATGAGTGTGCTGCATGACCTTTGAACCCAGCACTGCCTGAACCTGATAACTGGACATCACCTGACAAGAGATCCACATCTGATGTCCCAGAAGAGAAATCAAATTTGTAATCAAATAAAATATTACTACACTATAAATTCAAAACAAATCACAAACCAAAAGTCTAAAGTGCAGTTGTTGAATTAAAATGTCTAAATCATTTGATTTAGGGAACGGGTGTCTAAGACACATGCTTTCTCTTTTTGAAAAATCACATCACAGGGCTAGCAGTCTCCACTAAGCTTGTCCACCTGGACGCTATATTAGGGGAATTACAGTCATACCACTGGGTTTCTTAGGGAGAGTGCGTGTAAGGTTTGAAGTATTTCCTGTTTACCAACAGAGGCAGATTACAGGTTGAGGTCGATGGAAAAAGTAAAGTAGAAGCATGTATTCAGTTAATGACTAGTATTTCGTTTTAAAGGTTGATCGATGAGGTTGAGTTCAAACTGTCCACTCACCACTGCCAGCGCTGCCTTCCCTGCGGCCTCGAGCACTGCTGTCCCTCCCAGATCTCACCCTCTGTGTGTGTCAATAACAGCACGCTGTCAAATATTCTCCAGCTCTTTTCTTTAAGGTATAGCTTCAAATACTTTACATACAGTCCAACAAACATGTTCCTCAATAACTGACCATAGGTTTCCTGGCTAAAGGAACAGGTGAAGAAGAAACACAGATAATCTCTCTCTCTTGTTCTAAACTCTAAACTTTGAAACTCTCCACACTTGATTTAAAGACAGTCGTTCCTGAGTATCCCTCGAGACAGTTGTGTTTTTTTGTTCACTCCTAATTTCCACTCAACTATTTTCATCCATTTAAACAGTATGAGAGAAATCAGGGTACCTGCTCTCTGATCTCCTTCATTTTTTCAACTTTCTTGAGTTTGGTGGCATAATCCTGCACCTCTTTTAGTCCCATATCTGTGCACAGCCTGACTAGGAAGCGTAGACCTGGCCAATAGATAATGACATGAGATGCAGAGCCACTAGATGGGCACAGAAAATCAAAATAAAACAACTGCAGAGCACATTACATTCGACATTTTCAGGAAATTTCCGATGAATGTCCTTGTAGGTCTCAAGTGCCTTCTGATAATTCCCTGAAAACAAATGAAAACTATATTTGAAGGCACTGAGATGACAGCTCATGGTTAAATGTATTATTGTCAAGTTCATACCACTTCTCCTGTAACAGCTAGCCACCATCAGCTGCCACTTCACCTGTGTCGGTCTGAAATTCATGAAAAGTTATGAAAATAAATATCTCCAGATACATGCAGAATATTCATGATAAATATGATTTAGTAACTTACTGAATGAGGGTTGCTCTCTCAAAGTACTGAATAGCTTTTTCACAGAACTGGGTGTCAATGTAATATGCTCCCAGCCATTCAATGACACTAATATTTGAGGGAAAATACCTATACGACTGAAAAAAAAACAATACAATTTAATTATTATTATTACTGTCAGTTCTCTTTCTTTAGAGTAATTCAAATACCCATGAATCATCCACTGAAATCTGAACTGCGATCTGATTTATAGGCACTTATGCATGTCTTATATGCTTTCTTAAATAACTGTGAAATAAAATATTAAACATTAATTAAAACACAATTTAAATATGTGTATTTATTTTGCAATTTGAAATGAATTAATAAATTTAAACAAGTCATTTTATAATTTAAAAACATTACAGTTAATAATTAATGATTTATTATTATATTAGTAACATTTAACTACATTTTAAAACATGAATTAAACTTTTTTATTAAAAACATATATTTGTAAAAAAAAAAAAATAATAATTCATTAAAAAAATAAACAAATCATCATTGATTCCTTGTTTTTATTTTTAAGTGGCACTTCTAGTCCTGCACATTTTATACAAACATCACTTGAAATGTGACTGATGAGCATGTAATATTTTGCAGTGGCCTTTTTATTTTATTTTTTTACCTCATAATAGTACTGGAAGGCCTGAGACTTGTCTCCTTCATTATCATAAAGGTCTCCCAGTTTGGCCAACACCTGAGCATCTGTGGGGGTCACACTTGTGAGCTGCATCAGCCATTCAATGGCCTGATGAGGGTCCTCCAACATCTCATATCTAAAGCTGCTTAAGGAATATGACTCTTAACAAGCAAATTAACCTAAACTTACCATACTTATGTCATTCTATTTCTTCGCAACTGAAATTACGAAAACCATCACAGAACAGACTTTCATTCAATAAAACTTCTGAAAACTGACATTTTAAGGAAGGATACAGATTAGCCAGCTGGTACATGACCTGAGCACTGTTTCTGAGGATAGCATGCAGTTTGAGGAAGCAGTCCAGGGCTTCCTCCAGTCTACCCAGCCTCTTATAGGTCAAACCTGCATGGGGATATAGAGATTTCTGCTTTAAAATTACTTACATTATTGATATAAAGTCTCGGTGTCAGCTGAAACATTTAAAATGTAGAAAAGTTAAAGGGTTAGTTCACCCAAAAATGAAAATTCTGTCATTAATTACTCACCCTCGTGTTGTTTCAAACCCGTAAGACCTTCGTTCATCTTCGGAACACAATTTAAGATATTTTTGATGAAATCTGAGGGCTCTCTGACTCTCCCATAGACAGCAAGGTAACTACCACGTTCAAGGTTCAGAAAAGTACCAAGATGATCGACAAAGTAGTCCGTGTGACATCAGTGGTTCAACTGTAAAGTTACGAAGCTACGAGAATACTTTTTTGCGCAAAGAAAACAAACAGGTTAGCGTTCACGACAGTACCATATACGCGAGCGTGTGGCGGCACCGGCGCTGACCCAGATCAGGCGTTATTTTTGTTTTCTTTGCGCAAAAAAGTATTCTCGTAGCTTCGTAACTTTACAGTTGAACCACTGATGTCACACGGACTACTTTGTCGATCATCTTGGTACTTTTCTGGATCTTGAACGTGGTAGTTACCTTGCTGTCTATGGGAGGGTCAGAGAGCCCTCAGATTTAATCAAAAATATCTTAAATTATGTTCCGAAGATGAACGAAGGTCTTACGGGTTTGGAACAGCACGAGGGTGAGTAATTAATGACAGAATTTTCATTTTTGGGTGAACTATCCCTTTAAAGTACGAATTTATGTAAATCTCATGTGATGTAACCTTTAGGATGTCAAGTTTGTGATGGCTGACCTAAGTTATAAAGAGCTTCAGTGCAGGACGAGTCATTATGAAGAGCCTCCTTATAAAACTCTGCTGCTTTCTCATAGTCCTCCTTCACAAATTCTGTGTTGCCTTTGTTAACGAGGGCAGCAGGGTTGTAGCGGTCGGCACTCATGGCAAGTTCAGCATAGCGGTCAGCCTGGTCATAATCCTTTTCCTGGAGAAGACACATAAATAGGCAGATGCAAGCAACAAAACAAGAGCACGTCTGTGAGAACCTTATAACACACTGTGATAAATACAGCAATGACCAGTTTTTTGAGGTCAATGCTTTATAGTGATGTACTCACCAAAAAGTAAAGAAAAGAAAGATTAGTGGCAGCAGCACTTTTTACCCGACTGTCCTTCTTCTCAAACATCTTTAGCGTCTCGACTGCCTGGAAACAAAACAAAACACTGTTGATTAAGCATATTCATAGCGACTTCAAGGAAATTATTGACATAAGTAGATTATTTATGTGAATAATACCTAAATACACTTGAGTTACATCACATTACATTTGCTGCTACATGAAATGACAGAAGCAATGCAACACAACACAATATCAGCACACATATACACAAGGCCTACAGCAGAAAGACACACACATGTTCTCCAACAACACAAACATACCTCAGCCTCAATAGTCATGCAGATGGACAGGCAAGAAAACAAAATAAAATGGACCATTGAAAGTGTAAAGTGTTATAAGACATAAACAAGGGTTCCACACAGACATAGAGCAATATCGCTCTGTTCTGTGGTAAAATATCAAATGCAACATAATTTGAGTGTGTCTCCAGGGACCCATCTACCTGTCTGAAGTCCCTCTGTCTTAAGTATGTAATAGCTTTATTGATCTCCAAGTCATTTGCAAGCTCCACGTATTGTGAACCCTTCACCATGTCCACACACCTGAAAAAGTACCAAATTAAGCTTTAGGACAAACTCTTTGGATGGTTTACTTTAGTCTATTATAAATGGTCTTAACTAATAATAATGAATTATAATATTCAAAATAAATAATTCATAAATATTGTTAATGGAATGTCATGGGCAAGTCTTGCCCTTTAACGCCCTCTTGTGGAATACACACACTACCATTTAAAAGTTTCGGCTAAGTATTTTTTTTTTGGTAACACTTTACAATAAGGTTCCATTAGTTAATGTTGAACAAACAATGAACAATACATTTTACATGATCAAACGATGAACAATACATTTATTACAGTATTTATTCATCTTTGTTTAGTTCATGTTAATTCACAGTGCATTAACTAATGCTAACAAGAACAACTTTTGATTTTAATAATGCATTAGTAAATGTTGAAATTAACATTAGCTAAGATTAATAAATGCTGTAGAAGTATTGTTCATGCTTAGCTCATGTTAACTAATGAACCTTATTGTAAAGTGATACCTTTTTTTATGTTTTTGAACTAAGTCTCTTCTGCTCACCAAGACTACATTTTTAACAAAAATACAAAAAACAGTAATATTGTGAAATATTATTACAATGTAAAATAGCTGTTTTCTATTTTAATCAATTTAAAACATTTCATTTATTCCTGTGATGGAAAAGCTGAATATTCAGCAGCCATTACTCCAGTCTTCAGTCACCCAGCGATTCTTCAGAAATAATTTTAAATATGCTAATTTGCTTCGCAAGAAACATTTAATATTGTTGTCAATGTTAAAAACAATTGTGTTTTGAGGATTCTTTGATGAAAAGAATGACCCAAACTTATGAACAGTAGTATAAATAACTCACCAGTCAAACCCAGCTGCAAATGACGACTCAATGGCTGGAGCGATAAATTTGGCTGAGGTCATAATGTATTTTTCTGCTAGTGCTTTCCTAGAAGGAAAAACAAAACAAAAATACTGAAAAAACATTCTAAGAATAATACATGCAAAGCTGAAGTATTATAGATCCAACAGAATGTTTAATAATACCTCTCCCTTTCCATTTGGTGAAGCTTATCGTTCTTTATAGCCTCAATCACCATGTTTGCATGAGGGTCATCCTAAAATAAAAAAATAAAAAAATAAATAAAATAATAAATAAGACAGAATTCAGTTCAAATATATGACTAACAAGTATTTAAACTATACACTCACATTTGGAGGAATATACTTGTCATCATCATCAATACCGAGAGGCACACAAATGAGTTTCTGAAAAGCTTTTTTCATCCTCTCACGGTCTCCAATGGCATAGTAACATAGGATGAGGTTGAAGCCTGTCTTAATGTTGGGGTTCTCACTCATGATGTACTCAAAGGATGTGATGGCATCGGAGTACTGGCCCATATGTATGAACACAACTCCAATGTTCTGCATGATCTTGATCCTATATAGTAAGATAAACTATACATGTTGAAAAACACATCAAATTGCCCAAGACCTGCATAAATTGATCGGTGCAAAACAGCTCACACAACAGCTGCAACTACAAGTACTGACCTCATTGCATTGTGGGCATTTGAGATCTGATCCAAAGCCATGCGGTAAAATTTGATTGCCTTTGTGTAGTTCTTTTGCTTAAAATAGATATTTGCCATGTTCACTTTCAATCGTCCTATAGTAGGGTAAGCAGTTACAGAAAATCTGATAATAGAAACGCACTTATATCAAAGCGGAGTGAATATGAGATATTTTAAAACAAATTTGAAATTTGCTTACCGGCATTACTGAACATTTTGTTCTTCACAATGACTTGGTAAGTGTTCAAGGCCTCGGTGTACATGTCATTATTGGCATATTGGTTTGCTAAATTAAACAACACCTGAACAAAGCATAAAAGAGTCGTGTGAACTTTCAGTTTTCAGTCAAGACATGTATTTTTATATGGAGCAATGAACTTACGGAGTAGGTCAGATCCAGATTGATGTGGTCTGCAGTGCCTGTTTGTTCTCTCTGTCTCACCAAAGCCCTTTCCTTCCTGCCAGCCTCCTTGGCTTTCTCTAAAGACTGTAAAAAAAAAGATAATTCATCAGATAAATGTCAATTCTATAAAATCACTTAAAGCAGTTATAAAGCTATACCTACCAGCTGAAGATCCCCACGAGCATGAGCGAGACAGCTCTCCTCTATCAAATCATTCACCTTCTTTTCGAGGATCTTTATCTTTTCCTCTGGACTGAACGAGAAAACTATTAGAATGTACACAAAAATGTGTACATCTCCGAGTAAAACTAAAGACGTCAAGTGGGATCTAGTAAACAAAACTTGTCAATGGCTTCTCAAGCACTATGAAAGCATAGGGATGCATACGTGTCTTCATTCCTTGTTTCTAATGGAGGGGCCGGTCCTTTTGATTGTCCCAGTGGATCAAACACTGAGCCTGGAAATTCAAACAATTAAAATGAAAGAACCTATCATATTTTTCACCAACTCAGAAGTTGTATGAATCAAATATCATTATGAGACAGTAAGTGTATTTCAAGCATAATGTGTCTGAACAGCACATGTGGAAATGGGTTTCATGTGTGAAAGTACCTCTAGCTATAGATGACGAATATCCTGCTGCTCGCACTGCAGTCATGGGACGAGCCGCACCATCCTGTACAACACACAAACACAGAAAGATTCATAAAATTTCATTGCATATGATATGACATAAAGGGCAAATAAACAAGAGATTTTTCCCACCTGAACAGCTCCAGTCATAGGCCTTCCCATAGCAGTGCCAACAGGCATCCGAGACTAGATATTAACATCAGAAATATATAGACATAAAAGGAAAACAAACAGCATCAATATACTACCAACATCTGGCAAACAGCTTCACAGTCCCTCATCGAACCATGAAATTAATTCAATACAGTCAACCAGAAATGTGTTTGTTTTCCTAGCTATTTGATTTGACCGTCCTGAATGATTCTGACTGTATAATCTCTCACCTCTTGGAGACCTTCACCTTTCCTGCCCTGACAGCTGTCTTCCTGATTATGAGACATTGCACATTCTAACATGCTATCATTCTAACTTAAGCTATTGAATTTTCACTCGGTGTAAATCCATATGCTTTACTTACGCCATAAGCTGTTCCAATCGGTCGCCCTCCAATGGCAGTGCCAGGATATTTTGCGGTCATCTAAAAATATTTAATAAATAAATTTAGTGTCTATTATTTCTGGTGTGCTTGACGTTTTATACAGCAGCTTAATCAGCAGGTGCAATATAACTTACTGGTGGTCTTCTGCCATGACTAGTCCTGACTGCCTGCTGAAAGCCCTCATCATTGTGAAGGTCCTGCAGGGACAGGAAAATCATTATGCATAAAAGCAAACTATGAAATTCAATAAATGCATGTCTAAGGTCTAAGTATTTGTGCACCTCTCCGTCAAAAGTCGGATTGTAATCATTGTAGCCAGTATACAAATCATCCTCCTCTTCCTCTGGGACAAGATGCACGTTGTCCATCTGAAACAAAACAAAAACTCATGCAAGTCTTTTGATGTGAATGCTATATTTGTTGTTTATATGTTTAATAAACAGGCAAATTACAATAATTTAAGAATATAAGGCTAATGCCTTTTTCAGGCAACAATGGAGACACTTTATCCAAACTATACAGTGAGAACATCTATAAAACAAGAAAGAAAAGAAGCAACTCTTACAACTTGTAGGCATTATTTTGAATAAATATGCGAGTTACTCTTTAAAAACCATTGCCTGACAACACTGATCACAAGTTCGTTTGCACGGCTAGTTCGCGACCATACCACGTATCTCGTACACAATGTAACTGCCAACATCTGAGGTTTGTGAATTATGATAGTTTCACTTACCTGGTTAGCAGATCAGTTTGCTTTCTGAAAAAAAGTGCAAATTAATAGCCGTATTACATTTAAATATCCTGGAAAACCGTGTATATAGCCCAACAGCAGCTAGAGCTCGCTAACTAACGTTAAGCTGTTGAGCGACACATCGGTCGTTGCTAGGATACAGAGACGGATTGCCATAGGCTACACACTGGCGACTTAACTCTGTTTCGCTATTGGTTATTTCATTGATTATATTTGTGTCTATGTTTTTTTAATATTACATTTCTAAATGCACGTTTGATCGTCTTCTGCACTCCAATCCAAGGAATTATCCTACTGTAAAAGTCCTGATGTATTTTGGAGCGTGCGAGACGCCGTAGCTCCGCCTGTCTTTAGTGCGCATAACCTGAAGTCTGGTGATATTGGGGTTCCTGTAAAGTAATGTTAGCTGACTGAGTTTTGACATTTGTAAACGAGACTGCGATGACTTCATTAAAAGGAAAGATTATTACCGTTGTCGGAAGGTAAGAGTTACCTTGTTTAAGTCAGTCTGTCAATTTTGGCAGACATGTTCCTGAGATTGCATAAGAGAATAGCTGAGTGGACTTTGAACTCTACTGTGATAGTGTTTATGAATAGATGTATTACTCCATATCAGAATAGTGCATGTGAAAAATGAACAGTGCAATGATTTATGACCAAAATAAAATGAGCACGTGAGTCGGTATTTGCGCTTATTTGACATTTTGGGTAGGTTTGTCATGTGCAAATAATGTTATTGACGTTGAAGGTTATTATTACTCTGACTATTTTACAGGATTTTTTTTTTCATGCATGGACATCAAAGTCTTTAAACTTTGAATTAATATTTGTCCTGCAATAAAGTTCTTTGCGATATTAAAGTTTCTGTTTAAGTAGTCTCAGACATGTTCCTAATTTTGGTATGTAGATAATGCATTGATTTTCACTAATGTTTTCTCTTTATATTTGACTTACTTACAATGCTGTCTCTTTTTTTTCTAATTGTATGGTATGTGGCATCATAAAGTGGGCTGATCGGCCGCTCCTGGGCCATGGTGTTCCTGAGTGGAGGATACAAGGTCAAGATCTATGACAACGAACCAGGACAAGCATCAGGGGCCATCACAGAGATCAGGTCAGTGGAAATCAGGAAAGAAAAATGACCTGTTGACCCTTCAGTCAAATTCTCTCCCTTTAGCATCACTGCTCAACTTTTGTCTGAGCAGGTTTGGGACCCATTTTGAGGGCACAACCTACATAAACCAATGATCTGAGGATATAAATAGAATAAAAGAGAGGGCATAATATGCAGAAAAAAAAAGTATGCACAAATTAAAGTTTTCTAAAGCATATTTTGGTACTGTCTTTCCATATCTGTTGATGTTGTGTTAAATAACTCTCTTCCTTGATTCACTTCTTCTGTGACCAGAGGGAGTTGTAGGGCTTTCTATTTCCTAGATATGAAATTACAATGGAAAAAATAGGTGTAGAAACAAACTTCCCTCAGAAATTGCTAGTAAATTTCACAAACACATTGAATTAAACATGACATTTTGAAGTAGAAAAACTGAAATAGTGTTTTCTTGTAAAACACTCTACAATAATCTTTCTTTTATTTACAACTTCAGTAAAATCATTTTTTACAGTGTAGGTACCCTCACTAAAATGCTGGAATGACAGATCTTCTGTAATGCATGCAGAGTTGCTTCAGTAAAAAGTAGTTTTTGAAAGACATAACTTACACCTGCAAAAGATGTCTTGTTATCAATCATAAACCATGATTGAAACACTGTATTTGGACAGAACAGCGGACAGATTTTGTACACATTTTGTTGAATTTTTAAGCTGAATATTGTGTTTTTGTGTGTGAGCAGGAAACAGCTTGAGGAGCTTCAGCAAGCCAAAATGCTGAGAGGAAATCTCACGGCTGCACAGCAGTTGAGTCTTCTCAGCAGTCATGATGACCTGCAGCAGGCCCTAGAGGGAGCTTTCTTTGTCCAGGTATGGTTTCCCCCTTAAATGTAGATGACTTCCTGTTGACCCAAAAATGTAACTGGGAAACAGAGGATAAACATCTCCCTGATATGTATGGAACAAAATTATTTCATGTGAGAAGAAGAAAGTGCATTATTTCACATTTAATTTTTTAGTCACTGTACAAAGCACATGGAACCAAAAGACTTATTTGTGGTTTTACGTCTGAAACGGTTTGAACATTCCATAATGTCTCTCTTACTAAGTTACTTACTAATGTGATTAACTATTGGAATTGCACCCGTGTTTCATTATTAAAATGTACTGAACACTTAGGAGCCAAGCCACTGTTTGCTATTGGAAAGTCATTTTTTTTAATAATAAAGATGGATGATCTGATCATGCATTTTTCCTGAGTACTACATTCATTGACAGCTGATGGTTTCTGTTTGTCCCAGTTATGATGATGTCAGCATTTAATGACGCGTGGTCCTGGTATGTGCTGCTGATACTACTGTATTTGCACTGCTGTATTGGCGATATTATAATATACCATTATTTAACATTATATTATTTATTTTAGCGGTTTGTATGCTTGTGATTTGTTGTCTATTGTTTTTTTCTAAAATCTCCACATTCTTAAAGTCAGCATGAAGTGAAAATTCACCATTCACTTCACTCACTCATTTCGCATGTACGTCTCAATGTGGAAGAAAATATCTGTCGTTACTTCAGTTTCATTGCAACTCTGACTACTAAAAAGTTTTTCTGCTAAATAAGCAAAGAGGCATGAGTGAATATTCCTGTTTGTTTTATCAGCATTGGGAAGTTAAGGTCCTTTTATAACTATTCAGGTCATAATTTTTTCAGCACATTCCACTGTCATTCATTTTTTCCGCTCTTGAATTTCCTTGTTCCTTTCTGTGCTCTTATGGGAAAAATGTTGCTACAGCTTTAATTATAGTACATTTCATACAGTCCCTTTGCTATATGGTTGACCATCAACTGCTCGTGTCCTCTGTGTTTTCTGTGAATAGGAGTGTGTATTTGAGGACCTGGAAGCAAAGCAGACTGTCTTCCATGAGGTGGAGAATCTTGTCACAGAAAGTGTGATTCTCAGCAGCTCCACTTCCTGCCTGATGCCAAGCAACGTGTTCTCTTGTGTCCAGAACCGAACTCGGTGCATCATTTCTCATCCGGTTAGTTATAATTATAGTCCGTGAGAGATTATATTATATATACACTGTGGGGGAACACAAGTTTGAGGCGACATTGAAAAGGTGAGACTCAAATTTAATTTTTAGGCATTTTACATTTTTTGGAAGAAATTATGATGCAAAAAGAAATAATGAAAATCATTTTTTAAACTGATTTAAAATAAAAAAGATCAATCCATTTCATATGCATATACTTCAGTCCAGTTTTTGTTTGTTCCGGTCCCAAGTGTGCCGCACTAGTCCTCAAAAGTGAAGCCATCGCGTTTCGATCGCCCCCAGGTGGCTGGTCCCAGTATAGGTCATAAACCCCGCCCTCTCCAGGTAATCTAGTGAGACAAACTAAATAATTAAATTTCACTTTAAATATTTTGTTTTCAAACATGGTTTATGTCATTTGATGTAGATTTTATCACGCTGATATAAGTTAGGGTGTTCGTTTTTAAAATAAGTTTGGTTTTAGTTAGTTATGTGATGCTATAAAAACGGGAGTGTGACGTCATGATTGACAGCTGAGACTGACAGCTTCTCTGAGCGAACTGAGGCGCCAACTGACTTTTTCGGGATCTTCAGGAAGAGATTGGAGTTGTATTTACCTTATTTTAACACAAGCCTCTTATACGAAAAATCAGCAGACAAGAATTGGACCAGTCAGGCTAATTTAAAAAAGGATCAGGGGCGTGTGTTTGCGATTGACTCTGCGGGAGTGTGGGCGGGACGCGGCTCCACTTCGCTCTCTACTGCGCAGACTCTGGTCCCAAATCAGCGCAATATGGCCGCGCCCTATTGGGACAATGGCGGCTTCACTTTTCTTCAATGGAAGTGAATGAAGGTGCGTCGTCCGTCTTTTTTACAGTCTATGATTCCGGTGCATACATTTTGGCTTTGGTTTGAACCTGCAACATCTTCCATTCAAAGCAAAACACATCTAGACCAATATGTCTTTTTATTGGTCTAGATGTGGTATTGGTTAAAGGGGTCATATGATGCGATTTCAAGTTTTCCTTTCTCTTTGGAGTGTTACAAGCTGATTGTGCATAGATAAGATCCCTGAAGTTGCAAAGACTAAAGTCTCAAAACCAAAGAGATATTCTTTATCAAAGTTAAGACTCTGCCACGCCCCCCTAAAACGGCTCGTTCTAACACACCCCACATATCTACTGGGGAACAGGGTCACATCACAGGAGATTGAACTGCCTGTCAGAAATCATAGCACGTCAGCTGTCTTAACCGCGGCTTGTGTACTGCATCATTACTGTGTCTGTCACGCGACTCTGTTGCCCTTTCGGGCTTGAACTGATGGTAAAACTAATGACATTATTTACTGTCTTTACATTTATTTTGAAAGATGAAGCTCGTGATTATGGTAAGGGGTGTTACATTTCCGACGAGTGCTTGCGGTTTTCGGCCAATCACAATGCACTGGGTCAGTTGGCCAATCAGAGCAGACTGCGCTTGTCGGAAGGAGGGGCTTTGTAGAAAACAACGTGTTTGAGAGAGGCGGGGCATAGAGGACCTACAATAATGTACAGTATTTGAAAAATAATGTGTTTTTTGAACATTAAAGCATGTCAACATATTCTGTTACACCAAATACACAAAATAATGATATTTTTAAAAGCATTATATGACCCCTTTAAGATCTTATTAAGGGCTAAACCTAAAATCCCCCTAAATGTAAACTTCTGCAATTACCCCTAATAGCAATTATTATTTTCAAGTGTTCTTACAACATTCATGTTTTGGTTTTAGTTTTACGGTTTATATTTATTTAATGAAAGCATTATTTACATGGACATGTCAGGTTTTTCTTATCAGCCCTGATTTAGCAGCCTGTAGTGAAGAATGGAGATAATTGTTTTAGGCCAAGAGGGCTTTACTGGACTTTGAATCCTTCCATGCTTAACGGAAATTCTACTCTGATCTCATGAGCAGAAAGGTCTTGCTGGTCGTGTTGTCCTTCAGAGCAGTGTGAGGCAAATAGTTCACCTTCACCTGCATTTAGTGAATGTTTAATCATGAATGCCAAGCATTTGTGGTCAGACATTTAGTCAGAGAGACCTTCATAGTGGGAAAGAAGTTCAATACAAGGCCATTATCTATAGCTCTGGTAAACACATTGGTATAGTGCTTTGTCTGTGTTCGGGGGCAGATAAACTAGTGTCATTTCCTTCTTGTTTTGAACCTCACAGGTAAACCCGCCCTACTATGTGCGTCTGGTGGAGCTGGTGCCACACCCCGAAACAGTGCCTGCTGTAATGGATGTTGCTTACTC